TGTGGTCAATTAAAAAAATATGAAAAAGTTTCAGTTCCGTTAAATTTAAATTCTCAATTAAAACAATCAAAATGCATAAGAAGAAGGCTGGTAATAGGTACGTTGTAGTATTTGAACGTTGACCGTTGAATAATTGAAGAAAATAATTACGTAGGTAGGTAGCTAACATTTTTGGAAATAGTTTTATTTTATTTGAATATATTTTTGGAAAAATGTGTTTATACTCATTGGGTAAGGATCTTTTTATCTCTTTAATGTAATTTAACTTATTATAATGAATTACATTTATTATTTGTTGCCAATTAATATTCAAAATTCGTGTCCAAATTATTCTATTATTTCTCTAAACTTTAATAGAAAAAACGTCTTCCATTTTAAAGCTAAAATAATAGGGTCTCTTCAATAATAGCGTATATTAAATTCGAGACGATCTTTATTGGTTCTACTTTTTTACATGACAATATAAATTGACATGGAAGGACAATGTATTAAAGAAACATCATAGAAAATATTAAATAACATAGTATACACCAATCATGCTAATTGTAACTTGAAAAAACATTATGTCAAAAAAAATAATCTTTCAAATTAAATATAAGTATCTAATCCGTGTAATTATTTATTAAATATACAGTATCAAGACTAAGTCATTAATTAATACTCATTATTATATTGTTACCATTATTTGAAAAGGACTCATTAACGTTACGATTGCACCTAAATCATCGTTTGTTCTTTTTCTTTTGAAATTTTTAGACCTTGTTAGGACTTTAGGAGTAGGCAAAAAGGCAAATTACAATTTAAAAAATTGTGCATAATTAATTATTTTAGACTTTTTAGCATACAATTTTTAAATTTTCAAATATTTCTCAGTTCACATTATGATCTACCTAAACAAAATACTCATCCATTAATGGTGAAACAATATCAAAGATAATAATACTCCCTCTGTCCCAATTTATGTGGCACTTTCCGTTTTTTGAGAGTCAAACAGTTTAAGTTTGATCGGGAATTTGCGCATGAAATCTTCAATTTTTTTGAAATGAAATTTATATATTTGTAAACTACGTAAAAAGTACTATAAGTAAGAATAATTGATAATTCAAAATGTTTAAAAGATCTATGAAAAATTTACGGTCAAAGTTAGACTTGTTTGAATCTCGAAATTCGAAAAGTGCCGCATAAAATGAGGCGGAGGGAGTAGTGAAGTTATACGATAAAATAGGTAAAAGTAAAATATTAGGAGCGGTTTGTCCATAAAAGTTATTTACTTTTTTAAAAAAATAAAATTTCAATCAAACATAAGGAGTCGTTTGGCCATGAAAATTTCAATCAAACATAAGGAGTTTTTTGGCAATGAAAAAAATGGGTAAAAGCAAATATAAAGATCAATGATCACAAATTTCAGTCAAATATATTTGTGTAAATTTCATATATGACATATATTATAGTACTATTTTCAGGATATAGCAGTAGATTTAGATTTTCAAGCTATAACATTAAAAATTTCAGGTTATAACAAATTCACAAATAAAAGAAATGTTTTTATTAGTTTGAAAAAAGTTTTAAAAAAAAAAACAAACCAACATTAAAAAAAAACGGAATTATAGATAATAAAGTAAAAAACTGAAAGTGTGGCTTGTAATTTAATTTGAAATTTATTGTAGATAATTAATGATTAGCATGAAATAAGGGATCCAAACTAATTAAGAATATTCAGTTTCCTTAATTCACTCTAATTTGTTAAAATTAA